GCGAAAGCTTGAACAACAGTGCCAGCAGACACGTTAGTCCAAGCATCTACAATCCATCCGCAAACTGTGGCGTAACTTGCCCGGCGCTGCCTTCCACGTTAAGCTGAAGGTTTTTGTGCATCTCTCATTTTCACAGAGTTTTCTTTAAAGCTGAGGAGCAGTGAAAATGCTCTCTAAAGTCACTGAAGGTTCAGGGTAAGAGTTTAGGTTGGACTAATGATGAAGAAAATGTTAGTTTATCAACAATATTCAATATAGGGTCAATATCATTAATTACATTTCACATGACGTTATGAATTTCATTATTGAAAACATCATAGTCATATGGTCACCTTCATTTTTTTAAACTAGAGAGTGGAACTGTGAAAATCTTTGCCATAAAGAGCCTATTGTTAGCTACAGTTCTACTCTACAGTTGACTAATAAAATGCTCTGGGGCAAATGTGGGTGGTTTCTATAGAAACTCAGCTGGAAAATTATATTTTTGATATGAAGAGATGAACATCCAAGACAGTTTGAAACATCAAAAAAATTACTAAATTATAGGTACAGCAAGAATAAAAAATCCCTGCTGAATCAGTTTCAATGAATCCTTAAAGGTATACTGGATGTTCTTTTTCTGCGTGGATTATCAAAATAAGTAGTCCTCCTGATTATCAGTCATTCTTCTTTTAAAAAGTAAACTTGTATGAGCAATGCAAACAGCAACTTTTAAACAGAGCATTTTTAGGGAGAAATAGGCCTGTGCATGATCTACTGTAGCGTTCAATAGTTGCTCCCCCTCGGGAGCGGGTACAGGGTTGTGCATGTGCATTTTTCAAGTGGAGAGGGCGGGTCCTTTCAAAATTTGTGACGATCCTCCACTATATCATTTACTAATCTATTAATTTGCAGTTTTTAAATCTCATATAACTTTGCCTGTTTGTTTGATAAGAATCACCTTTATTGGCCAAGATTTTGAACAGAAAGGAGGAAGTTAACTTTGGTTTACGTTGCTCATGTTGAACATTAACAGAAAGTCAGCCTTGGGAAAGAAACTGTTTTCTCAGCTGTTTTCTGCCCTTAGTTCTCTATAGTGCAGGCCTAAAGATAAAAGTTTGAAAAACCACTTACAAGGATGTTTGAGGTTGACAAAACTCTTTTTTTGTCCCTATGCTTGTAAGGATTGCTGTGAAGGAGGGTCTTTATGATCTTTGCAAGCTTTTTAATTGTAGGGGCATTTCCTGTTTTGGCGATGAGCCAAACCCAACAAAGATGGATGTGCACAAGAAACATTCACGGCAACGATGATGACTGGCAGATCCTGAGAAAGATTATGCTTCCTTCGTCCATACAGTCTATATGTGAGGACTGTATGAGGTGACTAGAAACCAAAAACTCTGATCTTGAGCCAAATTAATTGTTTCAGTGTACACCATCATATATCACTATATACTAAACATCAGAAATAAAAACTTACAAATTAGGCTCATCCTCATGAACCAGAGAACTAGAGCTTTGTTTTAGTTTCAGTTTAAATATGAATGACTTTGCAGCATTTCAGTCAGAGCGTATATGACAAACAATGACAAATGAATCAGAATTACAGGAGACACAGATTTGAATCAATATGGTGGGAAAGTGAAATGAATCATAGAAAAAAATAAAATACATGACATATACAAGTTATGACTTGGAATGAGATCAGGCACCCTTTATAAAAGAGCCTTTTCTCCTGAACGCAGCCTACAGGGGTTGAAAGTCTGACCTCTTTGCCACAATTTGCTGCCTGTCTTTTTGCTAATTTTCTCTCCCTTTGTCTAAATCTATGAATGCAGTTTACTGTGCCATAAGATCTTAGTAAATAAACCTCTTTTCTCCCATTGGGAATCAAAATAAAGCATTTAAGTTGGAATAGCTTCTTGCTGTGATGTAATAAAAAGGTTGCGTTATCAAGTATAATTGCTGAGAACTAGCCTGGGGTGCTTTTAAAACAGCAGAGTCTGTAAATAATTAGTTTCAACTGGTTGACTTTTCATTACTCATAGGTAATATCAACAAAGAAAAACCCTCATCTGGTCCTGCAGATTCTGTCCCCTTTCATCACTTTAATGAGTCTTAGACAACCATTGGCCCCTATTGACCGAATGTTTGTAAGCATGCTGAGGTTATGTTTTTACAACTCAAAACGTGGGCTACTCAGTGGCGCAGTTGGTAGCACTGCTGCCTTGCAGCAAGATGGTTTTGGATTTGATTCCCGGCCATCTTTCTGCATGGAGTTTGCATGTTCTCACTGAGCATGCATGGATTCTCTCTGGGTACTCCGGCTTCCCCCCACACTCCAAAAACATGACTGTTAGGTTAATTTGCTTCTCTAAAGTCCCCTTAGGTTTTATTGCGTGCATGAATGGTTGTTTGTCCTGTTTGTCTCAGTGTTGGCCTGTGATGAACTGGCAACCTGTCCAGGGTGCACCCTGCCTCTTGCTCGTAGACAGCTGGAGACAGGCACCAGCACCCCTTGCGACCCCACTTGGAATAAGCGTGTAAGAAATTTGATGGATGGATGGAACTCAAAACATATTCAACATTTTGGAATAATGGATCAGTTGGATTTTCCTGGCACGTTTAAAGAATATGTTTTGCCGTTAAGACACCAGCCTTGGCCTTATTACTGATGTGGATTTTAAACTCCACAGTCAAGACCCACTTTTATTCTCTGGCTTTTATGTATGAATTTTTGCTTTAATCATTTGGATGGATGGATGGATGGATGGATGGATGGATGGATGGATGGATGGATGGATGGATGGATGGATGGATGGATGGATGGATGGATGGATGGATGGATGGATGGATGGATGGATGGATGGATTTTAGTAGCAGAGTGTATGTGATTTGTTGTAATGTGATTATTATCTTGAATTTTATAGCACTTTGAAATATATCTTATTTAAACTTGCTATAAAATTTGAATGGATTGGACTATTTTTTTAAGTGTATGATTTGTTTCTGAGCATGTCTTATGAGTAGAAAGTAATGAAAACCACAGAGCGCATGACTGTTTACATTGATTGAATTGTAACAGTATGATGTTGAATATTCTATGTAACCAAAATACTGATGAATGTACATTTTCTCTTAAAGACTAGAGCTAAAATGTTACCTTTGGATGGACGGGCTCTACTAAGTAGCTGCTTTAATTACCATCATGTCTTTCTAAAAGTTCTCTAGTGTAGCCAGCGGATGCGGCAACTTCTGTTCTGTTCTATCTGCTCGTTGCACCCGGTATTTGAATTCCATTTAGGCTTAAAAACAACATTAAAACACTATGAGGTGGAGGCTTGTTGAAACTGTTTTGTCTTTTTTGTATAGGCATAAAATGTAACTTTATACCTTTAGGAATTCAGTATTACTGATATTTTTTGGAGGAGAACTACTAAAATAGGAGCACAACAGCTGAATCTTGTATTTTCCATGGCAATCAGGTGAGCAGGGGGAAGTGTGACCTGATTGGAGTAGAAAGACCTGAGAGTGTTGGATGGTAGATGGACGTGGAGAAGTTTGAACATGTAGGGCAGGGCAGGGTGAATTGGGTTAAAGGTAGAGATTTTGACATGAATCATTGCATAATGAAACAAAGAGAGGTACTGATATGAGCTTTTGAAAAACAAAAACATATACATTCACAAGGTTCCATGCATCTGTTTCATATAACATTCATTTTGATTAAGGTATGTTTTCCAAGACTTCCCTACTGAAAGAGCTGCCTTTGTCTAACTGAACATTAAACTGAGAATAACTTGGATGGTCTCCCTTTATACTATACACCCAGTGGCCAGCTGGCTGCTCAGCCCACCTGTAATTGCAGCATTAAACCCTTTCCCCACAGATTTACCTTTTTTACAATTCTGTAAACAATGAGTTCACTTCAGTATGCTATAAAACACCCTGAAGTTGTAAGAAAGCAATCTAATCCTGCCTTTTGTCAGTGTTTTCTGTGTTTATGAAAGGAACAAAAGAGCCTAGAAAAAGGGAGGATGTGGGGTTAGATAAAAAGTTGGGTACTATCTGCACAGCGCTAGAATTTGATCATGATATTACCACATAGGATTTATGATCGCAGAGGAGAAAACTTTGAAGGACCCCCATCCAGACCAGAGTTACTTGTTGCATTATGTGATTAAAGGAAGTGGTAGGCTGTTAGCCATATGGCATGAATCTCCAGTTTTGTCAAATAAATCATAAACATACAGTAAAACCTTATTTTTGAACTTTTCATTTTAATTTCAATTCAATTCAGTTTATTTATATAGCACCAATTCTCAACACATGTCATCTCAAGGCACTTTACAGTTTAAAGTTTTCTATCCAAGGAAAACCAGTAGATTGCATCGAATCATTGTCTCAAATGCAATCCCTCACACTAAGCATGCTTGTAGCGACAATGGAGAGGAAAAACTCCCTTTTAACAGAAAGAAAACTTCCAGCAGAACAAGGCTCAATGTGAGTGGCCATCTACTGAGGTCAAATGGGGTTAAAATAGGCTAGCGTTTTATAACTGAAGGTGATTTATTCAGTAGACTTATATGACATTTAAAATACTCTGGATATTTACTTGGAAATTTACATTTCTTCCTTTTAGTGAATTGTCACACTGTTTAGGTAAAACTCAATTTCCTTATGTTTGATTTATTTTTCTGAATTTTGGTCCTCATTATCTATTTGCTATATTTTTGAAAAAGGATACTAAACTTAAATGTTCGAAATATTCAAACTTAAATTTTAATTATATCAAAACTTCTTAAGTGGATGAAATAGAATTTTAAATAAAAATTAAAAATAAAAACATTTCTTTCACTGTGAGAAAAGAACCAAAAACAATAAAAATATCAATTCATCCGTGATTTACTGGACTTTTAAGTCCTTCGGGGAAAAATGATGACATCAAGGTTTTTTCCCAGGACAACACACGATTGCTTATAAGGCTCCTGTTCTCCCGGAATAGTTTCACTTCTGGAGTAAAACCCATGTGGGAGATGGGGAGAGAAGGGGGAGGAAGGGAAGGAGCGGGAGACAAGCCTTGGATTAGTCTGCAGAGAGCGCAGGAGAACAGTCCAGCAAGCCTTCCAGCTCAGACGCGCAGCGCAATGGCCAAATGGCTGACGGGATGTTGCACTGCGTTCATTCTGATTTGCGCCGTGGCTTTTGTGATCCTGTGCATCGTCACCCTTCAAGATGCTGGCTGCTCCAGCTTCAAACATGCGGCTGTAACTGCAGACTCGCAACTTTGTTCCGAGATTGGCAAGTGAGTAAATTTTCCCCTAAAGTGGTGCGCTTTCTCTAAAAACTTTGATTGATATGAACTTTATGTTAATCATTCCATCAATAGCCTATATATATTTTTTCCTGTTGTTAATCAAGTGTTTTCAAATTTCTTTCGACATTAAACGCTTGTTTTTATGAATTGGATAAGTGGCTAAGCAGGTTAAGAGATTTGATCAGCTCCACTTGAATAGAGATTATAGCAGCAAATCTGTAGACAGTGAAGCCCTCACTGTTCCTGAAACATTTCCTTAAACACTGTCTGATGCTGCCCTTTGTGTTGATGAGTGAAAGTCTTGGCTCTGCTTCTTCCATTAGTCTTTTTGATGTTTTCTTTTTGCGCAACTTTGAGTCAATGAATCTGTCATCACTAAAAAAAAAAAAAGTGGCACATAGCCTTTTTAACTGGAATGTTGTCCTTCCGACTATTGTTGACTTTAGTTCTTTTTTTTTCTCCTCAGCCTTTGCTGAAGGGTCATTTAGTTCAAAACAGACACAATCACATCAGAGTTTACTGACACAATGATTGATGCATTTCCGGACAAAGGCTTAATAAGGATAAACCTGTTGAGAATAAAAAAAAAAAAAGTATTTTATTTTCATAAAAAAAAAATGTGTGCATTTTGTTTTCTGTTGGTTATTCAAGCATTTTCAAAATATAAACTCATTGAAAGTTTTTGAGGTGGCAAGGATGAAACATTCCCAGCAGTGCATCTTTGTTGCTTAGCAGGTAAAAAACAGTCTCAGTGCTAGCATCGCACTAAAAGGGTCCTATTTGCTTTGTTTTCCCCTTTCATTTCTGTCTAAAGTATCCAAAAAAAAGACAGTTTAGATGTTATAAGCACCTTTATTCACCCAGGCATGCAGTTTCAGTTCTCAGCATGACAATAAATAGGTTGTTGCTAAATTTGGCTGCAAGTAGTTGACTTCTAAAATTAGAAAATGGGCCAATTGTTGAATAGAGGGGAACAACAGCAGCCGCAGGACTCAACCCTCTGTTTTATATTGGGCCTTAGGTTGTGCAAATGTTTGCATAGTATAGTCAGAAACTGGTTTCCCGTAAATCCACTAATATCCTTTTACAGGAAAATCCTTCAGAAGGGCGGCTCAGCAGTAGATGGCGCCATTGCAGCTCTCCTTTGCACGTCTGTGGTCAATCCTCAGAGCATGGGAATTGGAGGAGGCTCTATAGTGATAGTGAGAAATAAAACAGGTGGGTTGTTGTCATCTTTTGCTAGTGTTTTTTGTTTTGCACATTTCTTATTTTATTTTTTCACTGATCAATGTAAAACTTCACTGTACAATAACCTTTACTTCTTCCCTCATCATGTGAATAGTTGGAAACAATCATTCATTTCAGTTTATTTATATAGTGCCAAGTCATAACACATGTCATCTCAAGACACTTTACAGTTCATCCAGATCATCCAGTCAAATGTATTCAAGTTTTCTATCTAAGGTAAACCAGCTGATTGCATTGACTCAAATGCAATCCCTCACACTAAGCATGCTTGTAGCGACAGTGGAGAGGAAAAACTGAATTTTAACTGGAAAAAAACTCCAGCAGAACCAGGCTTAGTTTGAGCGGCCATCTGCCGAGGCCGACTGGGGTTCAAGGAGACAGAAGCAGAGATACAAAAAGCAGCTGTAAAAGGCGGCCCCTTCCAGGAAACACCCAGCCAGGCAGACGAGCTCCGAGCCAACTCTCGTGTCAGAGGATGAAGAGAGCACATCCAGCCAGTCACAGTCAGAGAAAAATGACTACACTGGAAAAAAGGCCGATCTCCAGCATCTATAAACAGTGGTGTTGATGGAAGCAGCATCAGTGGCAAAGTTTGTCTTGTATGTTACAACAACTTTGTTAAAATTACCCTTTGTGGTTGGCTTGTCTTTGTATACCTTCACCAACATACATGAATAAAGCCTGTGTTTGTGTGTGTGTGTGGGGTGGGGGGTCTAAAAAAGAAAAGTTTTTGTTATTTTGTTTTCTCTTTTTCTTTCAGGTAATGTTAAGGTCTACAACTTCAGGGAGTCGGTCCCTCACTCATTCAAAGATAATCTGCTAAATGACTGTCCTACTACATTTGGATTGTCCACAGGTAAGCAGCATCTAGTCAATGAATCAGATGTCGTTTGTCTACCTTTTCATTTACTATATAGTTCAATAGAAAATTGCAGACTAATATAATATGACGTCACATACCGTCTCTTTCCTCTGTTCTCCAGTCTTGTAGGCCAATGTTAATAGCTGCCATTCAGAGCTTTGCACTTCCCTGCCCATAAAATGCCGCTGCCTGATCAGTGTAGTGTAGTAGCAAAACGGTGGAGTATGCATTGTCACGGCCCTTTTCCTCTGACCTGCAGGGGCGGTTCCTCCTGTAGGCAGAGGCGGGTCTTACTAATTGGAGCCACTTGGGCTCTATATAAGTTTAGCTCCACACTCTCTCTCTCTCTGCTCCTCCAGGTACTCCCTTTGTTGTTTGGTTCAGTTTGGTTTTGGTTAACACTTAGACACATTCTCACATTCATGTTCACCCACTCATACACTGCACACACTAAACCTTCTTACATACTCACATCTCACACATGTGAGTATGTGGCTTGTCACACATCTTATTTTGCTCTAGAGACAGTGAGACAGCCCACCTAGTGGTGAAAGTTTGCTTATGGTTGGTTTAAACGTATTACTGGCTGTTCTGCTTTATTGATCAAGTGTATGATGCAACAATGACTAAAAATGTTTATTTTTTTTAAGATTACTTAAGTTGAAAGGACCCTGCGATCGTTGAATTGTTTCTGTAAATAAAATTAATTCCATCACATTTTGTCGAAATTTCAATTTTGAAATCAACTCCAGTTTGGACATTTATATCAGTAATTTAATACATTTAAGTTGATTATTGGCTACGATCCTGATGCTTCCTGGGCTTTACTTGCACATCCTCTCCTGACTCATTTAAATGGTAAAAACCGGACCAAACCTTGGCTTCCAGTAGATAATTATTTCTACCACATATCAGAATTCAGTTCAATTCAGTGTATTTATATAGTACCAATAAACACAACACAATTTAGACACTTTAAAAAATTATACCAGTCCTACAAAGTTGAAAGGTTTTCTATCTAAGAATGCATGAAGTTAGAGGAATGATTTTTTTAAATGACTGATTTTATAAATCAGTCCTCATTGATAAGTATGAGGCAACAGTGGACAGCTGCTTGAATTGTGTCGTTGACTAAGGAAATTGCTTTTATATTAACAGTTTAAAAAGGGACTTCCCTTTAAAAGGAAGATTGTGAATGGTAATCTGCTACTGGGTGTTGGAGAACACAGAGCTTGCACAAAAGAAGACACAAACAATGATCCAGGGTGAAAATATTAAAACAGGCTGAGAAGAGGAGCTGAAAAAGTTTTTACTACACTTGACGTTCATGTCTTTTATAGTAAACCAACAGGTCATTTCAACTAATTCTGAAATAATAAAAAAAGTGGGTAATTATTTAGCCAAGATTATGCAAGAAGCTGTTTAAGGGCTAAAAAATACATGTGATGTAGACACAGTTTACCAGGGGAATTGTAGGGTAATATTTAAGCAGGTGTGTGGATAATTGAGCCTATATTTGTTAACCATTTTATTCCATGTGGAGAGAAAAACCAACATAAATTCTAATAGTTAGAACAGCTTTTATAATTATTTTTTTTCTCCCTAGAAAAAGAATAGATCAAATGGATTAGAGCCCATAATTAACAAGATTTTTTTTTCCCATAATGAGTAACATTTGACTGGAACTGCTTATGTATACAACAAGAAAATAACTTTGATAAAAAATCAAAATAACTGAAAATGGTCACTTCTTTACAACCTTTGTCTAGTTTAAGAGTTCATTTCCTTATGTCTTAGTGAATTAAGATGGTTATATGGTTTTAGCAATCAAACTGGTGTTTTATCAGGTTGTTGTTTTCCACTTCCATGTTGCAGGTAGTCAGTGGATTGGTGTACCAGGAGAGTTGAAGGGCTACGAGCGCCTCCACAGAGAGTACGGGAAGCTGCAATGGGCTCAGCTGTTTGAGCCAACCATCAAACTGGCCAGAGATGGGATTCCCATGCCAACATACTTGGCAGAATTCATGAGAAACAACTTTGTAAAGATGCATGTGGAAAAGTCATCACTGTGGTAAAGTTCACACACAAAAACCGAGCTTACAAAGTTTCCTGACATGAAAATGTTCGGTCACTGAAAACGTAAAACATTTTAAAAAATGTTTGGTGTTTGAGTAAAACACACTGACTTATTGTTTAGATTTTATAAAGGAAACAATGATCCTTTAAATCCGCAAATTAACTAGTTTTAATAATCTAAAAAAAAAAGATGTTCTTTACCCGAGAGTTAAGCCTCATAGTCACACTGACCATGAAAATGATTGGTTTCTTCTACTTACACAACACAGGGGACTGTTGGGGATTCAAAAATATTTTTGCCTTTGCAAATCTCTGTCATGCCAAAATATTATTTTATATAAGATTAACTTGGGTTTAGAGCAGTTACAGTACTCAATGGAGTTCTGAATCTGCACATCTTGTGTATTACACTAAGAGGCAATGCATAGCATATAAATCCAATGATTACATGACGTTGCTCTAAGTTTGACAGGTCATGTCCTGTTTAGGATATGATGATTAAGGTTGGTCATTGATCCATCTATCTATCTTCTTAAAGGTGCAGTAGGAGATCTTTTCTGATGCATTTTTTACCATGTGGCTTTAGATGTCCCCACAGTCGCGTAGCAAGCATTGAAATAGAAGATCTGAAAGTGAAACTAAAATAAATGGTTCCCGCTACAGTGTGAAATTAATGAGTAACGTCCACCAATCAAAAAACACAGTCCGTTGTACACTATTGGTCCTTGACACGTCAATCCGCTTGTCCCTCCCCCCTGTGCACGTTTCCTGACAGATGAACGAATCGACCCCCCAATGCTCGTGCTGGAAGCTAGCCACTGTTATGCTATGTTCACACCTAAAGCAGCAAGAGCAGCAAAAACGCGCTTCATTTTTGATGCTTGTACAAATTTAGTTCTGACGCACGACTGAAGCATCTCTGGTGGAAAAAGTGGGTCTGATGCACATTGGGCTGAGCTACCCTAACCTTTCTTTGCAGTGCTGTCAATTTTTCACCAAACCTTAGAGCAAGATTTTAAAAGAATTTGGACATGCAAACCTTGTCGGGGTTAGATGAGTATAGGTACAGCTAATTAGTCGTAAAATCCAACAGGAGATTATTAAACTAAACTGAGCAATAATGATTTAACTTGTGAGCAAAACATGGACTAAAACTGGGATTAAATCAGGTGGCTAATAGAGGTAGGTATAGAGATAACAAACCTTTTGATTTGATCCTACACTTCAGTCTCCACAGTGATAATCTAAGCTAAATGCTGTGTATTTTATTCATATTTACTCAAGTGCTAGACTGCTTAAAATCTTTATTAATTTACAAAGTGAATTAATCTCGTCCAGATGCAATACGATTTAATGACATACCTCGTAATAACTGCTCAGAAATCCCGGTAGTTTTTTCCATATCTGGCTCATGTCCCCCGCTACTGTCAGCAAAGTGAATAGGAGGGCTTGTGCAAAAATAAGGACTGGATATGAACCTGCCATGTTATTATATGTTAGCACTAAGGTTGTGTTAAAAACACGGACTGGGTTTTTATCAGCATGGTATATTTATATATAAATAAGTGGAGTTGAGTTTTAATGTCTGTCATTTTTTAGCATGAAAAATTTGAGATATGGAGTGTGAGCGTGTGAAGACACTGAAATGTGTGAGTCTCACACCCAATGGGTGAGAGTTGACACCCCTGCCTTTGCCAGTAACAATGGCAGCTATATTCGCTGTGATAAGTGGGTAAAAAGTAGTTTGAATCTATTTTGAAGTGAGAAAGTACCTGAGAACATTGTCAGTGCAGTCAGTTCATCCAAATTACCATCCTGCCTTCAAATATTATTTCTGTCAGAGCCACTCAGACCCCTGTATACTGGCGGTGTGTTGTCACTAGGAATCCCATTCAACAGCAGCTTCCTGCCTGGTCATCTCTTCACGGTTTGCCGTGGAGGCTGGAAGGCCTTTTTCATGTACGTAATCCAAACTGCAGGCACCAGGATAATAAAACGAACATGTTTTGCCGGCAGATTTCGGCAATTCAAGTTAATTTAGGCGTTAATAGACTGTTTCAGAGGAGTGATCATGACGCTCTGCATCATCAGTGCTGTGTCTGTCTCCCTGTCAGCTCCCAGATCAGCGACCCGCTGCTTCAGCTGCTCAGACACGCTGCTCTAGAAGCGCTGCAGGACCTTTTTCTGCGCCGTGATGCACGTCAAATATTGACTTTGCATGTAAACTGGCTGCTTTTGCTGCCTTTGCTGCTTTAGGTGTGAACGTAGCATGTGAACCTTGACAGACAGCATGCGTGTTCATGTGTTTTGAAGGCGTTGTTTCAAGGGGTGGTCTGAAGGGAGAAGCATGGTTGGGTATGTTCAAAATTATAGCTTGTTGGAACCTTTTTTTTCCCAAGATCTCCTATGGCACCTTTAAGATGCAAAAGCATGAAAAAGCATTTCACACGTTCTATCTCATTTGCATTTTTCAGATAATCGGATAAAAATAATGTTAGTAAATCTAAAATGTTCTAACATTCCATCAGTTCTTTTAACAATGAAAACCTCAATTTATATCTAAATACACAGACATAGAGCTTGCAATACAAATTTAACAGGCTTAAATCCTCATGCATTTTATAAACATGTTGTATTAGAATGTTTGAAGATGTAATAAATTATTTTCTATAATTACTTATTTGTTCCACACTCAAAAAAAATCCATATTAATAATCTGATTAGATAATATGGACAGATTTTTTTTTAAAATAGAAAAGCTTCATCTGATATAAAACTGTTTTAAAACAAAATCTTTAAGGGTCCTAATCTTTTTTTAGAACATTACACACTGACCTTTAAGCCATTTTTGAGTCTATCCTCCATACATTTTGGGAAATAGCAAAATCTATGAAGTGAAGACTTCAGAGTGGTGACCTCATTACATGGCTAAATAATCTCAGTTTATTGCAAGGGGCAGCTACCACTGTAAACTCGCTGTAGAACACACTGGTTCAAAAGTTCAGTTGAACATCTTGTGATACTTTTTTGACTGCGATCCATGACTTACAGGTCTTTTTGTTGACACCCCTCTCATTTAACCACAACAAACCAGAACTTATCCCTCCCTGCTTCAGACAAAGCCATTAACAGTCTTTCAAATTCCTATTTTACCTTGTCGTAACTCATGATGATAAGTCAGCAACATATGAGCAGCTTACCACAATACTTGAACTTTTCCATTTCAGGCAGAGTCCCTCATTACCAGTTAAGAAACTTGACCTAAAACAGTAACAGGATGGCTCTCAAACCAAATACTCCCAGTTTGGAGGCTCTGAAATAACAATGGCCCTATCGGATAAGCAGCTCATCATGAAGCTGTCACCGACATGGAATTTGGACACCATGAAAAGAAATATTACAGGACCCATCATAACCTTCCATGAGGTTCAAGGAATTTTTACTAAAGTGGTTTACAAAAAAATGCATTTATTTAAATACTGTTTTTGGTTACCTTTCTCAAATTTGTGAAAAAAAAAAACAAAACATGAAAGTTATTTTGTAGAGGAAGTATTGTCTGTAGAAAGTTGTCTGCTCTGCTGCTTTTGGAATAGAGGTGGAGTAGGTGGACTAAACCATTTTGTGTAAACAGATAGGGGGAATGAGTATTGAGAACATTTTCCAAAATAATTCAACTTACTTTTACCAATATAATGTAAATAAAATATTTGGGATTGCAGGTTTCAAGTGTCATGTTATTTTTGTCAGTATCATACAGTAAATGCATTAGGAGCCTCTCATGGGCCCCTGTCAAACCTGGGTCCCTTTAAACCTTCTTCCTTTTCACTCCTGTTTAGTACCCCTTACTTTCACTAAAATACTTGACAGTTTGTACACGGAGATAACATATGCTTAAAAGCACAATTTTTACTACTCAAAAATATTCCTAGTTTTAGACCAAACTGATAAATATTTTGTTCAAATTAACGCAGAACAAAGGGAAAAATACTGCAATTACTAAAAATAAAAACAAGTTAAAGCAAATCAGCTCTAAAAAAATGGAGGTGTATCATTATATTTGGGGATGCTACGAAATCAATTCAGGTGAGACTTTCTATTGCATGTGTTTCTGTTTATGTGTTTTGAAGATTTCATTATTTTTCTCTGTCCAATGGAGGAGATTTCAGCCTTTTGATGCACTACTCTTCTGAAAATTTTATAGACTATGTTTTAAAGCCTTTCTAAAGCCATTCATCCATAATGAAGTATTTTACCAGTTCTGAGTCAGACAAAAAGCCTGAAACACAAATCTGGAAATGGCAAATATGAGACCTAAAGGTTTCCAAAAACCAGTTCTTTGATTTCCTACCTGAAAAACTGTCGATGAGTGCTACAAACAGGGAATCTAAAGCAAGAGCTGTGCCCAATCTTTGGTAGGAAGTCTCCATCTGGGCTGTACCACATCTCTAACCCTGTTTGTTGTGTCCAAGGATAGGTTTTCAATAAAGTTAATTTGCCTCTGATTTGAGCCTGTTTTGTGGTCGCTATAACCTGGATGACTGAGAATTTACACAGATATCTTTAATCGAAAAGGTTTCTTTAAAAAAGATTCTATTGAACGTGACCTCTCATAAATCTGAACAAGACAAAACTTGATTAGAAAGAGGGCAAATTTGGGTTTATTCTATGATTTTTAAAACATTAAGTCAGGTCAGTTGTTGTTACAGTACAGTGTTCTGTTTAACAACTCTTCCAATCTGTTTCCCTTTTGTTTATTTTTCTGTTTTTTATATAGTAAAGTCCTTTGCCACGAAAACAAAACAGTCCTGGGCAGAGGGGACACCCTACGCTTTCCTAAACTTGCAGAAACCCTGGAAAAAATTTCAAAGAAGGGTGCAGAAGCCTTTTACACTGGCAGGATAGGACTTGACCTAATCCAAGACATTAAAGAAGCAGGTTGGTGCAAGAATGGCCAGGGCAAGATGAGACTGTTTGTTAACAAATAAATTAAAGGTATTTAGTGTGACGATTTGGATGGAAGCTTGTAAACCTAAAGGGAGGTGTTTGTGTCTGTAGGTGGAACATTAACAATGAAAGACTTGGCATCTTACGAAGTTAAGGAGGGCAGTCCATGGACGGTTTCTCTGGGGACTCATCGGATGCACATCGCTCCCCCACCTGCTGGAGGAGCACTGCTAGCTTTCATTCTCAGAATTATGCAAGGTTTTAGATCATCTGTTGTTACTCAGGATTCTTTTCATGCACTAATTTGACTGCTGGAATTAAAAAGTTGTTCTTTCTCTGCAGGGTTCTCGCTGAGCTCAGACTCTCTTGATGTTAAAGCGAAGGTTCAGATGTACCATCATTACATAGAAGCAGCTAAATTTGCTAATGGACAAAAGAGGAACATTCGAGATCCTGCTTTCAGTAATAGCGAGGTTGTAAACTATAACTTTTTTCTACCATTGTTACAAAGAAATTAAATGTCTCTTTAAACATATAATTAGCATAACTGTGTGTGACATTTAGGCATACACCTAAAAGTTAAAGACCACAGGTAAAGCAAAATAAAACAAGCTGAAATATCTTCACAACAACCCAATAATGTTGCATTAAAACAAAGTCCATTTCAGAGGTACTTTTTCATTCTAAAAATGCACACTGATCTAGATATAAAGTTGTTACTGCTTTTGCAATAAAGGGAATACAATTCTGACATGAATGCAGGAATTATCGGAGAAGAGTCAGGTCAGCTGTAAACGCAGCAGCATAATTATTATGCTCCAATGAATATAGTCAGGGGTGGAATAGCAAAACAATATTTAAATGGTATTAAGTTCTCTGAATACAGGAAAGGGTGGAACATTACTTGAATTAACCACAACAGATTTAGCTGACTGAGCAACCCAAATTGGTATGTTGTATCATTGTTGGTTATTATGGCTCTATGGGATTAGGTCACCATTCGATAATATATGATACATATAATTTATCATTTTCATGGATGTGTGTTAATGGAAACAAGAAACTGGGTCTTACAGGGACACTGTATAAAGCATTTTTTTAAAAAGCTTATTGGATAGTACTGCTTTTAGTCTGGGCAGGTAAAAGTACAGCAAAGCTTTTACATTTTAACTCTTCAAGTAGACCTGTTCTTTTGTCCCTGGCAACTTTATAGTCCCTGGCAACTTTATATGTATATATATATATATCTTTGTATTACATCTATGTGGTTAGTGAATTGTCCATATTTGCTTACAATACTTTAATCTTCCCACAAAACTCAGCTGTAAGCTCTTATATACACCTTACATACAATATTTCCAACTAAACAAAACTACGAAGTAATACAAAAAAACATGAATTTTGTGATGGCAAATGAAAGAAATAACTTTGTGGTAGCAAAATGGGTTTAATCCATCTTTGTCGGCACTTAAATATATAATATTAAATATTTTACAAATGAAAGTAAAATTTAGACACTTCTAACCCCTTTATTGACACCATTTTACAAGTTCAGAATGATAAAAAAAAAGAAAAGAAACTAATGTCATAATAGGGATTGTTATCAAGGTTCTAGAAAATAGCTTAATTTTAATTGTAGTGAATGCAACAATTTCTTGTCGGTAATTCTTCCAGCCACTGGAAGGTTAGTTAAACTGTAGTTACGATATGTTGCTAAAAGAAAAATAATTTTAAAATTAGTGCAAAGAAAGTTGTACTATAGACAGGTTTTTGACTAGGTTTATTTTTCTTGTTTTCCTTTATTTATCTTCTGTTTTCAGACTGCCAAAAACCTGATTGATTCAACCTTCATCGATCATATCAGAGGGATGATATCATCTAGTAGGACCCATAATAACTCCTATTACTTCAACGTCAAACCTCCAAAGGATAATTTTGGAACAACACACGTTTCTGTGCTGGATAAGGATGGACTCGCAGTCTCAGCCACCAGCACCATAAACCAGCTGTGAGCAGAAGACCTCCATAGAGATTTGTACATTTTCTGAAAGTAACCTTATTGCATCAATGGTATCCATGGCTTAACTCTACTGTATGGTTGTGTAGGTTTGGAGGAGCTGTTTACTCTCCCAAAACAGGAATCATCCTCAACAATGAGCTTGCCGACTTTTGTGGAAGAGTAAATACTATACATCCAGGTAAAACAAACACACCTTACTGTTCCATGCAAGTCTGATTTAAAGACAAATGAACCTAAAACATCCATATGATGCAGGTGAACAGCCACCTTCTTCAATGACTCCTGTTATAATAGAGAAAGGCTCTGGTGGGATCCTTGTGATGGGAGGATCAGGAGGAAGCTTGATCACATCATCTATGGCCTTGGTAGTTCCCTGCTTTTCAATGTTGTTGCTTAGTCTGTGTGTTTCTTTCTGCTTACATGAGTCAAATTTTCTCTTACAGTCTCTAATCAACCGCCTGTGGCTGGGGATGAGCTTAAAGGAGTCAATTGATGCTCCCATAATCTTCATTGACTCAGAGAATGTTGTGAATTTTGAACGAAGATTTAATGAGGTGACGTATGCTCTTCTCAACTATAAATTTATGACAATAAAGTCTATTAATTTAATCATACCACCCCTATTAAGTATGTAAAAAAATAGAATTAGATAAGAAAACAATCAAAAAAACACTCTACTAAATCAAAAGTCCCGAAAATTATCTGATATGTTCTCCCACATTCAAACTCGTAGATCAATTTCCCTAATCTCTTTTTGACTATTTGAGCTGATGTAATGAGTAAATTTCTCCAGTGTGAGATCAGTAAAGTCAATCAATCAATCCATAATTGGAGGCTTTAGAGGCATCCTAGGTCCTTTTCTGTTACATCTTTACAAACAGCTTCCTAAACTCTGCTTAACTGTACCTGGAAACTGGGTTTAAGTCAGATAAAAAAAAGATTTTAACTTAGATAGATTTTGTACTGAAATAGTATGAAATACACCCAATCCCTACCTTTAGGTATAGTGGCAATCTGTGATTCTGTGGGCTGGTTCCTCTTCCAGAGTTTTTCCCAACCTCTTTTGACTTTTTTACCCCTTTGGGCATTCTTTTCTTATCATAAGTACCCCTCTCAGTCAAAAGTATTGATGATTGTCCAAAAGTGGAACTTACAATAACTGATTATAAAATAAAAACACTTTAGCATTTCTAACTTGACCATCTAATTGCATTTTATTCTTTCCATCTCAAATAAAAAAATAACATAAATATGTTCCCTGGAAGTTAGTAAGAAATGAAAATAAATGCAAAATAAAATATTATAAATCTGTATTTATAAAACTGGACCTTCTCTGAGTAACTTCCTTATACTCACATTTAAACTGAATAAAATGGAACCTAAACACAGAACAAAAATTATAGTCAGACTGACTTAATTAGATCTGTTTTCATCAAGACACCTGAGCTGCTTTAATAAGCTCCTATAGCTCAGTGTGAAGAACAGCTGATCCCAGGCTGTTCTCTACATCCATTCTGTTTTTCTGCTTGGTTTTTATGTGTGTCAAAGCTGAAGGTGAACTCAAACATATAAGAAAAACGTACTTTTTAGTTGATAAAACCTTGTTTAATTTTCAATTGGGTCCTCATAAAACAAAACAGACCCCAGCCCTATTTTATTTTAATACTTAACAAATAAAATATTTTGATGTACCCCTTGCAATGCACTGGCTGACCAGTAGGAGTACGAGTACCCCCAGTTTGGAAACACCGTTCTAGAAGATTAGCCCTTCTATTATTACCTCAGCACCTAGACATAAAGCCTATGGAATATCTGTGAAATGAGCTGAGGATAAGCGATCATGAAAGTATTGAAGTAGGAGAGATCTTGCATGCTTCAACTTTAGGAAAATATCAGGAGACTGCCGGTAAAGCACTGCCTTACTGGCATAAAGTCTGTTGTAAGAACTGCTTATAGGAAATAGGCATTGGTGATTTTTTACAAAAGTTCTATTTAAGTCAGTGTTTTTAAACCCTTGTCCTCAAAACACCCTGCCCTGCATGTCATGGAGACTTCCCAGCTTCCACTCACCTGATATCAATTGATAGCATATCTAAAGGCTTTGCTGAACTCCAGTCATCTTAAGGTGTGTTAAAGCAGAGAGTGTGCCTTGAGGACCAGGGTTGAAAACCCCCGATTTAAGATATTTAATCACCTCTTAATATATTTTTTTAACTTTAACATAATATCCTTGGTAAATATCACTGGAATAAAGCATCTTTACAAATATGGGTTGACAAATCTATGTGATAATACATTAAAAGAATGTAATTTAGAACTATCAATTTTACTGTTTTTAATCTGAGGCTTTTCTTATTGTATTTCATTTAAGGGTTTTTATTCTGATGATATTTCCTTTTTGTGTTGTCTTAGTCTGTGAAAGAGGGCCTCAAAGCTCTTGGACACCGAGTTGGGTCTTGGCCATACTTTTTAAACATGGTCAATGCCTTGGAAAAGGAGGACGGTTGTATAGAGGCCGTGTCGGACCAAAGGAAGATGGGAAAATCAGCAGGATACTGATCATGATGATATTGAGTAACTTTACATGAACATCTTTTCTTAGACTTATTAAACCTTTATGCTAGGGGCCTGTGATTATGGTGCAGCTCAAAAACAAAATGTGAATGAGTTAGTTTTATTTTTGTTTAACTTTCTTTTTGTATGTATATTTTAAAAAGTAATTGAATGTAGGCAAACATCCATGTATTGTAATACTATAGTATATAATAGTAAACGTAAAGGCAGTGGAGCTGATTCTTTACCTAACTGCAAATTTTATTTTTTTTCCAAATGAAGTCAGAGGAAGATAATACTAATTTAACTTCACTCTCATTTATCCAACACCTTCATCTTTGTGTTTATTTGTTTTAACATAGATGTATGCTCATATAGCAACAACACTGTGAACACGTTTTTTACTTAATTTCTATCTGTAAGCTTAAGAAATGACAAACTTCTTTGTGAATTATTCAAAGCATTTTTGACCAATGGTTGTCCAGCCTTTTTGGATATATTTTGAAGGTTTGGGTCACATGCAGACTCCTTCTTTCACCCATTTTCCTGCCTATTGAAGTTCAGGTCTACACCCTTACAGTATTTAGAGCTGTTAAGTAATGTCTGAAAGTCATTTCTTTCAGGAAAAAAATGGAAAATACCAAGCGAAGCATTGACACAGAACCTGATGTATTGCGGTTTAGTTGATTAACTCAATTCAAAGACCTCTACATATGAAAAGGAAGAACATTTCATACTTCAGTCTTTACTCTGCAAAATGAGCTAAAATAAGTAAAAAAACGTGTTAAATTATGTGTATTTACCCTTAATTTGAGTAGGTTCCATTGGCAGTGTATCAATTCAAGAAAAAATGCATTTACTTTAAGAATGTTTTTTCATTGTATAGGTCTGTTACCCTGCAGCTTTTTTTTATTTTTTATTCAACCTTAATTCAAAAAGACCAATAAACTCAAGGCTTCTTTTACATTGGTGACCTACATACCACTATCATCTTTCATGAGGACCACTATAAAAAAGTTGCTCGCAGAATAAACTTTTAAAAATGAGCTAAAAGAACATACTGAGGTTTTGCTCATGGATTCTGACATATTTCTCTGTTTTTAAGGAGTAGCCTTAATGGTATTTTCATGGATGTTACTAAAGAAAGGGCTGTGTTTTTGTTACCGATAGCTAGAAACAATGTTCATGAGGAAACCCTTTTAGTTTTGCAAAATATAGCAGCATTTTTTTTAAGAAGAGCCAAAAACTGGTCTGTAAATGAACGAAAAAGCAGCTAAAGTTAAAGAAAAAAAAAAAAACTCAGAAAGTTCTCTACACAGCCCAAATAAAGACCACTCTAAAATACTACAAGGACTTTCAGCTCTGATAAAGGAAATTTCACAGGAGCCATGAAGGATGTTTCCAGATTTTAGGACAATAATGCATTGGTATTTAGACAGCAAAACAGAGATAATGTTTTATGAACTGTTATTTGTGTTCACACCATGGTGATTGTTTTTTAAGACTGACTTTGCAAACAGTCAGCTTTTATCATGTTGCACTGTTGACATGCTGGATGTCGGACTTTTAGGCATAGCAATGTACTGAATGTTCTAATTTCTGACTGAACTTTTTTGATTTTATTTGTTATTCATAGGGCATAACCACTATATATGAGCCATTTAAAAAGGAAATCCTGATGCAGAAAAAAACATTTACTGTGGCCTTTTTTATTATAATGACTGTAAGACTGCCTTAAAATTCCAATTAATGTTTTTAACTCAGTGTGTTGTAAAAAAAATTTTTTTTAACAAAGTCTTGTGTTGTTTGTTTAATTAATTTTATCTACTTGTGTTCCTGACTGTTCACTGTTTATTCTCTAGTTTTTACAATAAAAACCTTCCTTTGAAATAGAATATTGCCTGACACTGATTCAAAACATGAATGTTCATCAGTTTTACACCCATAGAACAGATTTAAAAGGCAATTTCATTAAGATTTCATAAATTCATGACATGGAGAAACCTTCCACTTTGAGATATTTCTCATAGATAGTATTGTCTCTCCTGTCCTCCTCCTCATGTGAGCACATCTGAGGTATCACAAATGTGGTTCTCTACTCATAGGTGACAGTAATTCAATAGATGTCAAGAATATTTTGTAACAGTAGGAAAATATCTCTTGAGTATATTTAAAACTGAAAAATGAACTGCTGTGGGGAAAAAAAGGGTTTTTCCATGAAAAGTTTGTCATAATGGGCTTGAAAGATCTGACCCACGTGCAGAGAACCACTCAGAGACCAAGGGTAAAGGTTTAACAGGTTTATTGTAGGTAGCAAACACTGATGGAGATTGAAACTCAGTGGGGAAACAATGCTGGAACTCAGCGAACTGGTGAACCGGAACCGGAAACTCTGAAGGGGAGATCACAGTGATCAGTTCAGGGACAGTGGGAAAATAGACTGAGGCTTGAATATTGCTGGAGAGGCACTCACGTTTGCGGGGCTCTTGGTTTATCCTTGGATCCAGTTTGTGGGGGTTTAATCCAGAGAAGATGGAACTCGTTGGAGAGCGGACAGGCAGACATATGTTGGACCCAGAGGAGTAAAGGAGCGGACTGTCACTTGGTTTTCCAGGAGTGGACTTGAACAGATTATGTGGAGGTTTTCCCCCTGCTCAATGAATCCTTCCAGGGGTAGAAGGTCCAGGCTTATCCAGTAACACAGGAAGTCTTCCCAATACTGGCAAACACTCTGGCGTTGAGGTGGTGACAGCCCACTGCTCAAGTACTCCTCTGGTAATGACCCAACGAGCTGCAGGTGTGCAGGGAGGTCCAACGAGGACAGGGCACCACCCGGTGGTGAAGAGAGGAAAACACAAAAAACAACCCACACAATCTGGAATCCTAACAGAGCTTTAAATTTCGCAATACATTTTGTATGTACTTTAAAAGGCAATTAGTATACATTTCAGCTTTTTAACATCTGATTATATCTCTGACATTAGATTTGTGTCTTTATTATTAAATAAAAAAAGGTTGCTTATTTTTCAATCAAAGAAAAGCTGGGTTTTTGAGTCTCAACTATAATTTTGCATTCAAATACTTTTTTTCTTTGATTGAAACGTTTTTTTTTTCCATTGAATTGAAGTTGTTTTTAATTAAAAATATATCTTTTCAATTGAAGCAATCTGTCGTTTGATTGAATTCCAAAGACACCATCTACCTTCATACAATGGCATGTAACAAATAGCGGAGTAAACCTCGATCTCTAGCAGTGCCATTTAAAAAAACTTTTGAAATAATAGTTACCTAAAAGGAATGCATGCTATTTGCAAATTCCACAGTCTCTGAAGAAGTGTCAAAATGAACTTAGTCATGCCTCTGCTGTTCTATGAAAACGTCTTAAACAATCTAGCAACCTTTAAAGCAGAGTTCTACTGTAGCACTCCAGTCGTCATGGTCTGTGTACTGCAGCTTGAAATTAAATTACTAAATATGCATTTCAGCATGCGGTCAGGCTCAGGAGATTCATATTACACAACTTATTCATCTAAAGGTTGCAGGATGCTGACCTCTGAGGACAGACATTCAAAACTGCTGCTTTAAAAAACAGCTAAGGAAGTAATTTAATTAGCTGTAGCAGCTGGCTGTGCTGCCATGCTAAAAATAATTTACAGTATCACCAAACAGAATAAGAACAAATTTTATTTAATTGCAAGATTTCTCTTTCATACTTCTTTGCTACTACCAACACCTGTTGTTATACATTTTTTATTTCCAAAATTAGTCTGTCACACTCAGCATACAGACAGCATACAGTATTTAGAGTAAAATTTATTTTAATAGATTTTTACACATGGCTACAAATAAAAATGATGGGAAAAAATAGATGGCCAGTTTTTCTCCATTTAGGTAAATCATGATTTTAAAAACCTGAAATGACAGAGCATGTTGTGTCAAGCTTTTAACCCTGTCTATTTCATAGAGGGTGAACTGTGGCCAAAAAACTTGTTTTCATATATAATTTTTTTCTTAATAACTTCCGTGTTCAGCTGTGAAAGTCAGTTTCCTTTTTTCAAGAAGCTCACTGAGAATTTAACAAATTTCCCTTTAAAAAGCCCAATGGGTTCTAAATGTTTAAGAGACTTTGGGGAAAAACATGGGAATTATCAGCAATAACACCTCAATTTTTCCAATGTGGCTTGTATGAGTGTGGAAAAGAGAATTAAAAAAAAAAGTCATAGCAAGATACATCTCAGTAGAGGAACTTATGAATTAGTAATGATTTTTTAAGTGGATTCTGCTCAGCTCCCCCTCAAGGCGCTCAGTGTGAGTTATGAGATCATGCAAATTTCACTCTTTGTGAAGTATCACTGTCTTTGTTGAATGACAAATGAGTTAATCTTGATAAGCTTTGGCTTTTATAGCTCTGGTGTCATAATATCAAACTCTTTCTCTGAACCGTAAAGATGAACTATAGCTTAAAATCTCCAGTCATCTCCCTGACAATTTTCACTTAAATCACAGGAATATAAAGGATCCTCTGATGACTCTGCACACTTTTTCCCCCAAGGCCTTTTCAGTGGGGCTAATTATTTCAACTGTGGCATTCTTTTTTAATTTTTTTTATTTTACATACTAATTTGCACATTTTTCTATTCTAATATGCTTAGATTAAGTCCAAAGGAATTACTCAAGTGAAACTCACACAGGCAGATTGCAAATTTCTTTCATGCTTCAGGGTTAATAATTTGGCTGTTTATAGGTGAACTCCTAACTACGGTGTATTGATGTAGGACTGTGCTTAATTGGGCCTTCAAGGAATATTCTAGGGTGTTATGACAAGGTCACTGCTGAATTTTATGTAAAAGAAAGAATCTAGGACAATGTAGTTTGAGGATTTAGTTGCATCCAGTATAGTTTTTGTGTTTTGCTTTAATCTCTTATACCTGTAACTTGATTAACTTCTGAAGGAGAAAAGAAAGTCATATTTGAACACCCTGATATTTTTGCAAGTTCTCCCACTTAGAAATCATGGAGGGGTCTAAAATTGTTATGTAGGTTTATGTCCACTGTGAGAAACATAATCTAAAAAAGGAAATCCAG